TCTCCTTTCCAAGTAATTCTAGGGAAAGGAAAATTGGCTCCCACTGGCTTCTCCTACCACCATTCAAGCTAATGGCTCAGAGAGAGGCCAGGGACAGCTTCTTTGAGTGCCTGTGGCTTCCTCCTCCTCCTCCTCCTCCTCACAACCCTTGGGATCTTGATAATCCCCATCAGTGATGTCACAGGACTGGGTATGGAGGAGGCCGCTACCCTGAAGGCAGGTGACTGGAAACGGGGAGAAGAAAAGATCCTGGAGTCCCTCCGAGGGTCTGCGTTGGAGGCTTTCGGGTGAGGCAACAGCAGCTTATTACAACTAATTTCCTTCTTCTTGCTAGAACTGCAAATCCACAGAGTTTTCACAGCATATTTGTGTATCTGGCGCTCTCAGCTCGCCTCCCCTTGGGGACCATAAGAGATGCTGAGGAAAGAAACAACATGGTCTCCCATAATTTCAAAGCCAGTTCCACAGTTGTTAATAAATTAAGAGCTGGGTGAGTGGAGGAGGAGTGTGGACGTGAGGGGCAGTAACCCACTCTCAAGCCCCTCCAGTCACATCTTCTAGAAATTAAGATGTTACAGGGCAGGGAGAGAGGCACCCCTGAACCCCCAAACATCCACCGCATCAAGACAAAACATATAAGATCTTTCATGGAAAGGAACTTTAATACAAACAATGTGTAATACAGAAAAGATAAAGAATATAGTTTCTAAATCAAATCCCCAAAGTTATCCGTCCCCTCGTAGGTAAAAGTCCACCCAAAAGGGATTGGCCCAAAGCCAGGCCCAAAAGCCCACCACAGCCTAAAGCACCTTCTGGCAGGGACCTCCTGGCCCTTCATCCTGCTTTCTTCTTCAGTCTCCTCTCCAGATTCTCCTCCTCCCTGCTCAGCTCCACCCTCCCTTGGGTGGAACCTGGAATCTTCCCTTTTCCTGGGGACCATCCTGTTACAAAGAGAAAAAACAGGTCCTCCCTGTTGGCACATCCCGTTAAAGCTGCAAGCTAGCTGCAGTTACCTCAGTGTGAGTTCAATCTCCAGCTTGGGAGCTGACCCACATGGCGCAGCAGACCACTCCTGTCTCACCCCCTGCTCCCCTCAGCAGTGTACTTCATCGATCTACCTGTTCTGCTCCCCACTCTGTCTCTGGTGAGCCCTCTCACCACCCCTGAGTCTCTGGCCTGTACCCCAGTTCTGTATGCATAAATAAATAAATCTTAAAAAAAAAAAAGAACAAACAAAATGCTGAGGTGATCCCCAAGATCACATGTCCACTAGACCCAGGTCTTAGGGGCACCAAAGCCAGTGGGTGCCCACCCCCAGAATTACCTGTGGGGCGGGTGTTCCCATTGCTCTTTCTCCCTCTCAGTGGAGTGTAGGGACACCAGAACAAGCCTGGTGACTCCACGCTCACAGGGAAAGGGCAGGACTGCTGTTGGAAAGAACTGGAAAATTCCTCTTCTGAAAGACTTGAGCCACGCTGCTCTGAAGGGGTTTCCAGTCCAGCAGTCACTCCGTTGGAATCCAACACTCCTGAATGCCTGTGTTATTTTGTTATTCACTCTTTGGTCCTTGGAAGACTGTCCCCCAGGCTGGCAGCAACCTGAAGATCAGGGGTTCAGCCGTCAGGCTGTAAGCTTGGTCAGTTCTTGTCAGAGGCCGAAGCATGATGAGGGGCTTGGAATTAGCAGTGTGAGGACCCTGGGCAGATTGAGCCCAAGAAGACGGGGTGGGGTGTGGATAAGATAACTGCCTTGAAATACCAGAAATAAAAGGGCAGGCCTGTGAAGGATGAATTTTCTAGAAGAGTGGACCAGGAAGGTACTGAGGCTCCACTGTGAGGTGGAGCGTCTGAGGAGGGGCCCAAAGCCCCACGTGGAAACTGGACCCCATGTTCTTAGTATCCTTTCCACACCCAAGAGTCAGCCAGGAATGGGGTGTGTTCCAAAATCATCCAGCCCGACCAGGTGTGCTGCGCCTCCT